AAAAAAAAAAAAAAAAAAAAAAAAACTGAATGAGCAAGAGAATCCCCCGACTTCCTGTAGGTATCAGGTCCTGGCCACCATCATCTTGCCTGATCCTTCCGCAATACCTTCTTTTCCTACCAGCAATTCTCAAAATCTTGGCCAGAGGTGGTGAAGGAAGGACCTAGTTCTGCATTTTGTTTAAACAGAGCCCTGTTCACAGCACACTGTGTCCTCATTTGTTTTGTAATTTTGGATTATGAGCTCTCGATCAGCAATGGGAATTTTTGTGAGATCTGAGTCAAGAGCATAACTCTCCAAAGCAGATTTGCATTTGCTTCTGCCTGGAGTCCCAGAGTGCTAACAATCAGGGCCTTGTTAATTTACAAATCTGGCATTTTGTAGGCCATGCAGAAAGTGTAGATTAGAATTACAAATTCTTATTGAGGCAGATAGTATTTTCAGATTATATTTTCCAAAGATGGCTCCAACAGTAGCTCATGTCCCACATGCTCTTATAGAATTTTGCCACTCCCATCAAGAAGTGGAATCTAATTCTTTTCCTCTTGAATCTGAGAGGGCTTATGGCAGAAGCAACACTGTGACTTCAGATCTAAGTCATAAATGGAGATGCAGCTTCCACTTTGTTGGCAGAGACACTTGCCTTTCAGTCCTGAGCTACCATGTAAGAAATCTGATTATTCTGAGGCTACCATACTGTGAGGAAGACCAAGCAGCTACACATAGAAGTCACATATAGGCTTTCCAGCTGGCAGCCCCAACTGAGAACCAGCCAACAACCAGCATCAACTGCCAGGTGTGTGAATGAATGAACCTCCAAAGGTCTCCAGCTTGCAGCCTTCGAGTTTGCCTAGCTGAATTCCCAGATATCACGGCGCAGCAACAAGCCAGCCCTACAATGCTCTGTCTGAATTCCTGACCCAAAACTTATGAGTGTAATCAAGTGGTTGTTTTATTCCACTAAGTTGTTTGTTTGTTTTTTTAAACCACCACTAAGTTTTGAGTTTTTCATTTTTGGTATATTTTAAACTCAGCAATAGTAACTAGGATACATACAGATGGCAGGCCTGTGTTTACAGTTTTAGGGGGGCCTTGCCTTTCTCTGACTCAGTTCTAAGGATGAACAGGCAGATAAGTTCCCTTCCTGCCTCCCTTTGCTGGTGGGTACAGTTGGTCTAGTCCAGCCCACAGCCTGTTTTTGTAAAAAAAAAAGCTATTGGAACACAGACACACTCACAAATTTATATATTAACTATGGCGGCTTTTGTGCTGCAACAACAGAGTTGAGTAGTTTATATCTATTATCTAGCCCTTTACCAAAAATGCTAGATTCTAGGCCTTGTGCTATTATGTGCTAAAGAGATTGTGCTAGGTCCTGGGGAAAAAACATTATAGCTATTGTTTATTGGGGGCCTACTCTGCTCTGGCCACAGGGTGAGGACAGGGACTGGTAATTGCCATTTATGAGGGGTCCATCTCTCAATCTCAGCACACATTTTTTTTTTTTTTGCGGTATGCGGGCCTCTCACTGTTGTGGCCTCTCCCGTTGCGGAGCACAGGCTCCGGACACGCAGGCTCAGCGGCCATGGCTCACGGGCCCAGCCGCTCTGCGGCATGTGGGATCTTCCCAGACCGGGTTTGCATCAGCAGGCGGACCCTCAACTACTGCGCCACCAGGGAAGCCCTCAATATACATTTTGATTTTAACCCTTTAGTTTACCCTGCAGGGGAGGGACGATTATCTCACGCTACAGATGAGGACACTGAGCCCCAGTGAGGGAGAGTAACTTGCCCAGGGTCATCCACAAATAGAGAGCAGAACTCGGATTTGAGCCCAGGCCCATCTGTCCCCATGGTCGAAGATTTGCTCCCTGCCACCGGGAAAACAGGAAACAGCCCTCCATCCTGATGTATGAATGGCCCAGCCCAGGCCTAAGCACTTCCCATAAAAGCCCCATGAGCTGGAGACTGTCACCAAGCCCATTTTACAGATGGGGGAACTAAAGTACAAACGGCAGTTCCTTCCCCGCCCAGGCATCTCTGCCCAGCCCTGCCTGTCCCCCACCCTCCCTTCTCCCCCCGTGCTCACCAGAGTGTCCAGACAGCTGGACCCAAGGGTAGTGTTTTCGGAAGGAGACCATGAAGGGCGAATACTTCAGCACTGTCTTCAGCTTATTCCATGGTTTGTTCTGTGTGGGGCAGAAAGGGTGGGGTCAGGGCTAGGGCCGGGGACGGAGGGGGATGGCGCTGCTGCCGTGAGAGGGAACCAAGGTGGACCGGGGGTCCTTAGGGGGGCTTCCTGGGATCCCTGGGCCCAAGCTTGTTGCGGTGAGCAAAGCTCACTGACTTGAGCAATCACAAACTCCCCAGAGGCCTCAGCAAAGGCAGAGAAGAGTCTCTGTCCATTTGTCTTGGTGTCATCACTTTGTATCTGTGTCTCTCTGTCCTTCTCGAAGGAGCAGAGATAGGCTAGGTTGTGTTGCAGTCACCAGCAACTCCCAAATAGTCCCCCGACATATATACATCAAAAAGGTGGTTCCAGGGAAAATGATAAAGGCAGGAGTTGATGAATGGAGGCCGAACCACAGAGAGAGACAGACACAGAGACAGATGACAAAGTGATGACAAAGACAGGGACAAAGATGGAGACTGCAGCAGTCATGACAGCTGCTTACCAAATAGCTCCAGCCTGTCCCCCTACCAGGGATATCCCCGCCCTCTTGAACTCAGCTTTGGCCAATGAAGTGTGAGCAGAAGTGTCACTTTTGGGTGGAAGCCTTAAAGCCAACGAATGACTCTCCATGTTCTTTTCCCCAGTGTAGAAAGGGGTGGGGGACCGTAGGACAGAGGCTGAGTGAAAACAGCATGGAGCAGGGCAGCCTCAGCCACCACTGACCCACGGTCAGTGTGAGGTAGGAACGAAAATAATCCTTTGTTGGGAATTCCCTGGTGGTCCAGTGGTTAGGACTCCATGCTTTCACTGCCAAGTGCCTCGGTTCAATCCCTGGTTGGGGAACTAAGATCCTGCAAGCCTCGGGGCCAAAAAAAAAAAAGAAATCCTTTGTTGTTCCAAGTCACTGAGTTTGGGGGCTGTTTGTCACTATAGCAAACCCTGACCTCTTCAAACTGACACAGAGATAGGCACAGAGTTACTAAAAGAGAAAGAAATATAGAAAGACAGAATGGGAGACACAAAGTAATGACAGAGAAAGAAAAAGAAACATAGATGCAGAGAAAGACAGAGAGAGAGCAACAAAAAACCAGAGAAGCAAACAGAAAACAAGGATTTAGTTGTATCATGTGGACTCAAGCAAGAGCTTCTTGAGACCTGGTTACTGCCTGATTCATTGCATTTGCATATGCACGCACACACACGTGTGCACACGCGCACACACACGAATATCTTCTCTGCTCCAAGCACACAGCAGGCCCTTAGCAAGGATTGGGAGAATGAGTCCTCTCCAGAGAAAAAAGCTATGTGGCTCATCTCCCCCCACCCCGGGGTCAAGGCCATGTTCTCTCCTACCCCCCAGAGCCCAGCTACCTAGCAGACATCTAATGGATGGTGGGAAGGTCAAACACAGCCAGGGGTTGGACTGAAGGATTCAGGAGGGGCTATTCCCTCCCCTCTCCAGCTGCCAGCCGTGAAGAGGAGGTGATGAATAAAGGTTCCTGTTTACTAAGCACCTGGAACATTCCAGGCACAATGACAAAGGCTCAGTGTGCCATAACCTACTTAATCCTAAAAACACAACCCACAGGAGGACTGCTGACTGTGTTACAGAGGCGGAAACAGAGACTCAGACGGGTGAAGTCACCTGCCTAAATCACACAGCATAGTGCTGGGGTTCTACCTCTGGTCTGACTCCACTGCCCTGGGCTTATCCATTACAGCCCTGCTAGATTACAAGCCTTGAGGGCAGGGACTGGGGTTGTCATGGTTACAACTGTGTCCCCAGCCACGGCCTGACACACAATAGGTGCTCCAAAAATGTAGCTTGGGTTGAAGAAGGTTGATTAAATGTCTTTTTTTTTTTTTTTTTTTATCATAAGCAGGTTCAGTATCTTCTCTTTTTTCTTAGATCTGATGGTTAATCTGGGCTTTCTCAGATGGCTTCATCATGGCCTCAGCTCACATCTCCTCCTCTGCCAGGAAGCCCTCTCTGATACCCCAGGTCTGGCCAGTCTCTAGACTCCCACAACCCTCTGAGCTTCCCCCATCCCAGCCCTGAGCACTCTGAGCTGTCACTGACTGGTGATGGGTCTGTCTTCTCCACCGGCCTGGGAGCTCCATGCGGGCAGTGTCTGGGTCACTACTGTGTTCCCAGGAAAGCCAACATGGGGCCAAACACAAATTAGGGACCCTGGGACTGTCTGTTGTCTGATTAGGAGGACAGGATGGATGTGAGAAGGAAGGAAGGTGGGGGAGGGGGGAGAAAGTAGCTGGGCCTTTAAGGTCAGATGGGATTTCAAAATGAAGCAAGAAGGAAGCGAGGGGTATTCTGGGTGGTGGGAACAGCTTGAGCAATGAGTGGAGGCAGGATGGCTGCAACATGTTCAGGGAACAGTGTGTACTTCGGCTCCCTTGCAGCAGCAGACAGGATCAGGAGGGGAGAAGGGAAGCTGAACGTAGAAAGGAGCCTGGAGACAGGAAGCTGTGAACACAGGACTGAACTCCTGATCGCTATCAGGCAGGCCCTGGGGAGCCATGGAAGACTCTGGAACCGGGAACGTTGAAAAGTTAGTCAGAGCTGGGTTTTGGAGGCAGATTCTAGGGGATGAGGAAACACTGGAGACAGCGAGGCCTGGGAGGAAGGCAAGTTAGGGACAGATGCACAAACTGCAAGGGGTGAAAATGACTGGGTTTTCAACTAAGCCAGCACTGAGTTAGAATCCAGGCTCCGACCAGATGTGGCCAACTCTAAGCAAGTGACCTCACTTCTCTAGGCCTTAGTTTCCCCTCTGTAAAATGCAGATAATAATAATCCCAATCTTATAGTGCTTTTATAAGGATTCAAAGAGTTAACACACATATAACACTTGGAAAAGTGCCTGGTATTCAGTAAGGGTTTGAATCTCAGCTCTGTGTCTTCCAAGGTCTGTGACCTTGGATGAGTCTCTGTGCCTCAGTTTCCTCGTCTATAAAATGGGGATCATAGTATCTACCTCATAGGGCTGCTGTGAAGATTAAGATGAGTTAATATAAGCAAAGAGCTTAGCACAGGGAATTCTCCGGCGGTCCAGTGGTTAGGACTCTGTGCTCCCAATGCAGGGGGCGTGGGTTCGATCCCTGGTCGGGGAGCTAAGATCCTGCATGCCTCGGAGTGTGGCCAAAAAAAATAAAATAAAAAAGAAAGCTTAGCACAGGGCTGGGCATGAGCGAATGATAGCTGTTTTTTTCGTTTCTTCATTCACTCCAGCTCAGCTGCTCTGAGATGCCAAGGAGATGAGGGAGTAGGCAGAGGGAACAGCAATGGCAGAGAGCCCCAGAGGGTCAGCGCCTTGGCTCCGGCACAGGCAGGCTGGGGCAGGTCTATCTCTTACATCTGTGGCGACATGTGTGCGCACGTTCCTAAAGGGAAGCATGTGGGGTGACGGGGGCTCAGGGCAGATTCCAGCCAGGGGCCCCAGGACAATGGGAGGACCCAGCAGGCAGACCCACCAGAGGCTCTCACACCTGCCTATGCAGTGACCCTCCCTCCCTGAACCTGCCCTGACGGCCTTCCTGATTCCCCAGAGAACCGCACCCAAGCTATGGATGAGGGTGGAGGATGTAAACAAGAGTGTGCAGGAGCACTCTGGGGAGCGGGGGCGGCAACGCAATGGGGAGATGGGAGAGTCCCTGGCCAGGCTGGGGGTCCCTTAGCATTTTGGCTTCAACCAGCTCTTTGAGAATCTGATAAAAGCTGGGAGCTCGCTCCCTACAAAAGTGAATGAGCTAAGGGGTGGTGAAGGCTGATGACCCTTTAAGGCAGCTACAGGCCCCAGACTTAGAAAAGTGGGGTAGAAAGTGCACCCTTTCTGTCTGCCTGAACTAGTGTTCTTTAGAGTTTGGGGTCACAGACTGTGATCCAACAGAAGTCACAGATCGTTGCTGCAAAAACACGTGTATACACACACAGTTTCACACAATTTCAGGGACTCCTGGGTACCATGAAGTTGGCCAGTGGCCATCCATTTTAGACCCCAGGACTGGAGGCAGTGGGCGAGGGGAAATGAAGAGAATTAGCAAGAGGTTGCCTGGAGGGGGTTAGTAACCATGCTGTTGGATGGAAGAGGTGCCTGGAGATGAAATTGCTGGTGGAGTTCTAAAGAACTTCTCAAAGGAAAGGCGGGGGCGGGGGCGGGGGATACGGGATCTGTGGGGATGTGGCTCAAGGGCAGGATGGGTCCCACTCACCCCAGACCTGTCCTCGGGGTCGCTGGAACCTCCACCCCCGGCCACCACGTCATCCTCAGACTCGTCGAAAGAGGAGGCAGAGGAGAAGCCTCCACTGCCCCCTTCAAACTGGGAGGGGGGTCCCACTGGCTGAGCCTCAGGCTCGGGGGTTTCAGGAGTGATGATGAGGCGGGGCACAGGGGTCAGGGGGCAACACTCCTGGTGAGAGTACAGGTGAGTCACCAACTCCCCGTGTTCTGGTTCCTCTAATGAGCCATCTTGGTTGGGCTCCCCCAAAAGGCAGTCTGTCCCAGGCTCTGTCTGGTGTCCATGAGTATCTTGTGTCTGGGGTCCATCAGTCCCAGGCTGTGGCCAGAAGCCATCAGTATCTTGTTGTGTTGGGAAACCATCGATGTCAAGCTGTTTCCAGGTTGTTTCCGTATCCTGTTGTATCTGGGAGCCATCAATGTGCTGCTCTATCCAGGGGTCTTTGGTATCCTGTTGTGTCCTGGAGCCATCAGTGTACAATTCTTTCCAAGAACCATCAGCATTTGGCTCTGTTGAGAGAGAGGCCCCTTCTGGCTGAGTCCGGACGCTGGACCTGTGCTGGTGGGTCCAGAGGTTATCAGCCCTGGGCTTGGCCCTCTCTGGCTGGGTCTGTGACCCATGTATTTCTAGCTCTGCCCACGGCCCATCAACCCCTTGCTGTGCCCAGAGGTTAGCCCTCTCTGGCTGACACTGGAGGTCAGACCTGTGTGGATCAGTCCAAAAGCCATCTGTACTAGTCTCCGTCCAGTCACCGGCTGTCTCCAGTTTTGACCAGTGGCTGCTCCTTTCTGGATGTGTCCGGAGGATGGACCTGCCTGGCTCCATCTTTTGGCTGGGCCGCTCCGTCCCCGCCCCGGAGCCAGCTGCTTCAGGCTCAGCCTGTCCGTCGGTCCCCGACTCAGGCCCGAGGCCGGCCCTCTCGGGCTCGGTGTGGAGGCTGGACTCCTCGGTCCGGGCCCGGGGCCCGCCCCTCTCCG